AAGATACCAGAAAATGGAAAGATCCCATGCTATTGGATAGGTAGTATCAACATAGTAAAAATGGCAGTCTTATCAAAAGCAATCTACAGATTCAATGCAATCCCCATCAAAATATCTGCACAATTCTTCACAGACCTTAAAAGAACAATACTCAATTTCTTATGGAAAAACAAAAAACCCAGGATAGCCAAAACAACCCTGTACAATAAAGGAACTTCCTAAGGTATCACCACTCCCGATTTCAAACTCTACTATAGAGCAATAGTAATGAAAATAGCTTGGTATTGTCACAAAAACAGACATGTAGACCAATGGAATAGAATTGAAAACCCTGATATTAATCCACACAGCTTTGATCGCCTGATTTTTGACAAAGAACCTAAAATTATACAATGGAAAAAAGAAAGCATCTTCAACAAATGGTGCTGGCATAACTGGATGCTGACATGAAGAAAATTGCAGATATATCCTTATCTATTGCCATGCACAAAACTTAAGTTCAAGTGGGTCAAAGACCTCAAAATAAATCCAATCACACGGAACCTCTTAGAAGAGAAAGTGGGAAGTACCCTTGAACAAATTGGTACAGGAAGTCACTTCCTGAACATAATGCCAGCAGCACAGACACTGAGATTGACAATTAATAAATGGGACCTCCTGAAACTGAGAAGCTTCTGTAAGGCAAATGGCACAGCCAACAAGATAAAATGGCAGCCCCCAGAATGGGAAAGATTTTCCCCAACCCTACATCAGACATATGGCTGACTTCTAAAATATACAAAGAACTCAAGAAGCTAGTCACTAAAACACCAAATAATCCAATAAAAAGTGGGGTACAGAACCAAATAGTGAATTCTCAATAGAGGAATCTAAAATGGCTGAAAGACACATAAGAACATGCTCAACATCCTTAGCCATCAGGGAAATGCAAATCAAAACAACTCTGAGATACCACCATACACCTGTCAGAATGGCTAAAATAAAATACCAATGACAGTTTATGCTGGAGAGGATGTGAAGAAAGGGGAACACCCCCCTTCATTGCTTGTGGGAATGCAAAATTGTACAACCACTTTGGAAATCAGTATGTTGGTTTCTCAGGATAATGGAAATCAGTCTATCACAAGATCCAGCAATTTCACTCTTGGGCATATACCCAAAAGATGCACATTCATACAACAAGGATGTCTGTTCAACTGTGTTCATAACAGAGATTTTTTTGTAATAGCCAGAACCTGGAAGCAACTTAGATGCCCCTCAACCAAAGAATGGATGGAGAAAATGTGGTACATTTACAAAATGGAGTACTATGCAGTTGGAAAAAACAATGAAATCTTGAAATTCACAGGAAAATGGATGGAACTGGAAGAAACCATCCTGAGTGAGGGAACACCATCTCAGAAAGACGCCCAGCCTGCAGGGCCAATCAACAGGGACCCTAGGGGAGGGGGTGAGAATGGGGGGACAGGAGATTTGAGAGACGGAGACAAGACAGGATTCTGATCAAGTCTCATTTATTAAAGTATCAACAGGACTTAAGTAGGGCAAGTGGCAGAAGGGCGGGGAGCAGAAGTTCTCCTTCGCAGGGTATATTGCAAGGAGACAAATCTTGTGGCTGGGGCAGTTGGGACTGCAGGCAGGCCTTGATGATATGCTTTACAGGAAGATAAGCAGAGATGGAAAAATAGAAACTTAACTAAGTGTTAGTCTCTAAGAGTGCAGTAGGAATATTAAGATGGCTTTTATTATGCTATCCTTATTTAGGGCCCTCCACAGAAAGACAAACATGTTATGTACTCACTCATATATGGATATTAGACATAGAGCAAAGAACTACCAACCTACAATCCACACTTGCAGAGAAGCTAAGAAACAAGGAGGACCCTAAGAGAGACATTCATGGTCCCCTGGAAAAGGTGAAAGGATCAAGAGCTCCTGAGAAAATTGGGAGCACAGGAGGATGGGGGAGGGAGGAAAAGGGGAAGTGGAGCGGGGAGGAGAACATGACTGATCAGGAAGATTGAGTTGGGGGAAGAATAGAGGAGAGCAACAAAAGAGGTACCTTAATAGAGGGAGCCATTATAGGTTTAAAGAGAAATCTGGCACTAGGGAAATGTCCAGAGACCCACAAGGATAACCACAACTAAGAATCTAAGCAATAGTGGAGAGGCTACCTTAAACGCCCTTTCCGTATAATGAATTGATGACTACCTAGAGCCTTCATCAGGTAGCTGATGGAAGCAGAAGCAGACACCCACAGCTAAGCACCGAACTCGTAGAATCCAGTTATAAAGAGGAAGGAGGGATGAGCAAAGGGGTCAAGACTATGCTGGAGAAACCCAGAGAAACAGCTGACCTGACAAAATGACACTACACAGACCCCACTCATAAAGCTGGGGAACCAGTATTGAACTGAACCAAGCCTTCTGAATGTGGGAGTCACTTAGCAGGCCTGGATAGTCCATGGGAACTCTGACAGTGGAGCCAGTATTTATCCCTAGTACACAAATGGACTTTGGGAGCCCATTCCCCATGAGGGATACTCTCTTAGCCTAGATACATAGGGGAGGTCCTAGGCCCTTTCCCAAATGATGTGACAGACTTTGTTGATTCCCCATGGAAGGCCTCACCCTTCCTGAGGAGTGGATGGGGTATGGGATGGGGAGTAGGTGGGAGTATGGGAGGATGGGAGGGAGAGGGAACTGGGATTGATATGTAAAATAAGATTGTTTCTAAATTTAAAAAATTTACAGTAAGAAAGGCTTCAACAATTAAAACTTCAAATCCCTGAATAAACAGATTGAGGAAAACAGTAGAAAATGGAAAGCAGCCCCATACTTGTAGATTGGTAGAATATAGTGAAAATGACCTCTTTACCAAAAGCTATGAACAGATTCAATGCAATCCCAATTAAAATGACAACAACATCTGTTAGAAAGTTTTAAACATTTTTTCCTTTTTAAGAAAGATTATTTTATTTCATGTGTAGGAGTATCTTGCCTACATGTATGTGCATGTATTATGTTTGTGCCTGGAGCCCATGGAGGTCAAAAGAGAACACTGAATCTGAAACTTGAGTTACAGATGGTTGTGAGTCACTGCGTGGGTGCTGGGAGCTAACGTTGGACCCTCTGCAAGAACAAAAAGCGCCCTTAACCACGGAACAATTTCTCCAGTCTTTGCACCCACCATTGCCTCCCCCTTTTGAGGTATAGTATGTACATAGCTCTGACTGTCCAGAAACTAACTGTGCACACCAGCCTGGCAATGAACTCTCAAAGATCCAACTTCTTCTGTCTCCTGAGTACTGGGTTTACAGATATGTTCCTCCATGCCTACTTTACTACAACATTCTTCACAGAAACAGAAAAAAAATCCTGAAATTCATATGGAGTCACAAAAGATCCCAGGGCGCCAAAGCAATCCTGAGCAAAACACTGCTGGTGGGATTACTGTCCCAAGTTTCAAGTCTTATTACAGTATTATAAAGGAAATCATTACTTGGCAGGTAAATGGATGTTTCTAGAAAATACTATGTTAAGTGTGGTAACCTAGGCCTAGGAAGACACACTCATGTTCTCTCTCACTTGTGGTTCCTAGCTTCAAATCTTCAGATGTTATCGTGTAACCTGGACTTACTGCAGAAACAAGGGAAGAGAAAAGGGACCATGGGGTGGGAAGGATCTCTAGAGACGGGAATGGAATGATACAGGTTTTATGAAGGGGAAATGGGAAAAATGAAGTGGGGGGTTTAACTGGGGAGAGGTGAGGGAGGAAAATGTAGAAGTAGAGTGAGGAAGGATAAACAGTGCTAAGGATATTTCTTAGGGAAACACATTGCTTTATGTATACTTAAAAATTACATACAGTACTTCTAAGTGTATGCATATACACATATGTACACACATGTGCACACATATTAATGAAGATATTCCATTTGGGATGATATTGCTTCATGAAAGCCATAGACTATCTAATATAACCTCTAGAAAAAGGTATTAGAAACCTTTTCAGCTGTTAGTCTAGGGAGTACAGGGGTGTCCTAAAACAATAGTGGCAATTGCTGTTGCCATTAGTTGTCTCTTAAAAGTTGAATGTAAGTCCTTATTGCTGAAAACACCTTACACTTTGACACAGGGCTTAGATTCAAAGTATATCTGATCCAGAAGCCTTCTCCCTGAGGACCAGCTTTCTTTGTTCTTCAAGCTTCAATAGCATGCCCTCTTATCCACAAAGGTCTTACCCATCATCAAGAAGCTTCTTTTGAAGCAGATGGAGACCATTACATACAGTCATAACTGGCTAAAATACAGAGAATAGTTGACTGGTGAGATAAACAACTCCACTGATACATCTACAATACAACTCTTACATATAATGTTCAGGGAACATTGTGGAAGAGGAGGGAGAAAGATTGTAAGAGTCAGAAAACTAGGAAGTTTCCTGTAAGTTTGTGTCTAAAGATATGGCAGGGAAGCTGCACCCATTAAATATCAACAGTGTGGCTGCTTAAAGAAGACATGACCAATGACCATACCAGTTGATATTATATTGTGAATGGGAGCATCTCACAGTCCCCATCCCTAGATGAGGCAGGGTCCTTCCCTCTTTGTAGGTCCTTCTGAAGGGAAGAGAACTTCTTGGAATTCCAAGACCTGCACAATCTTGTGATTTCAGAACTCACTCATATTTTGAGTTGAATTGTGGGTGCCATGTGGACTAGGCTCACTGCTGACCATCATGGGTTTCCAATTTCTTTATGTGCAACTTGAGCACTACAGAGCCAAGAGGGATTATTTCTAGCCTGTGGCTCTTAGCATTCCTCAATAGTTCCTCCGACCTTCTATTTTAGTTACCTGTCCGTGGTCCCCATACAGGTGGAGGCTCACCTGTGAAGAACCACCATCCAAGTCGACTAGAAGCCCCAACCCCAGGTGTCAGCTCAGCTTACATTTGGTTCTGAATCCAGACTCCTTGGGTCCCATTTAACAAGCCCCTACCTGACATCAGCGTTTGTCTCAGATTTTCAAGGCTTGAGCTCAGTAGCTGTAAGGAGCCTTCGAGGATATTGTGATCCATGAAGTGTTTCGTCGTTGAGCTTGGAAATGATGAAAAAAGGCCTATGGGAAGAGACATTGTGTGATTGTCAGAGAAGCAGCAGTAGGAGTCAGGGTAGCAAGGCTGGGATCCTATCTGTTTACCCTCATACCCTTCTCTACTCTCCAGGAGAGAATGATGCTCTTACACATGCTGAAGTGTCACGTTCCTGCACTGTAAACATGAAGTTCACACAATATGTTGGTCTACTCTAGTCCCTTGTGTGAATCTCCATTCCTCTCTGAGCCTCAACTCCCTCATGTGGGTGTCCTACGTTATATCCCACAAGAATAGGTAGCATCTTACTGTGTACTTTAGGTTTGACTTGAGCTCACATTCTTCCTGCATTAATTTCATTCATTCTGATACTTTAGGAATGTGTCCAAGACCAATTAGCCTTTCTATTTTTATGACCTTCTGTTTTTTTAGTGTTTGATTTAAAACTTCCATGTGTATATACTGTTCATTAGACAGAGAGATTCTGAGAAACTTCTTGAGTGCTCAGGTACATATTTCAAATAGTAGTTGACAGTTATTAAGTGACATTCTAGGGAGGAAGGTGAGAAACTTCAAAACACAATTTTGATACACACATAAATTTGAGCATGAAAGTTCTGGATTGAGTAGAATTGCTTTAATGGAACAAGTTGGAATCTGGGAATAGTGAGGGAAAGAAATGAGAGAAGGAAACTGTTGGTAGGATAGGAAGAAGCTTTGTAGCAAGAGAGACATGAACAGACTAATCTCTGCTACAATATCATCAGTGGAGTCTTCCCCATGTCCAAGAACCCACCTGTGCGCAGCGTGAACGCGTGAGATCTGCACCTGTCGGAGAGGTGCAGTGGATCGAAGGGGGAGCAATGTGACTGCTCAGATAATGAAACTGAGACACTGTCTGTCGAATGGCTTTTTCTAAGACACACGTCATATGATGCCGAGGTGACAACTATGTTGACGGCTTTTGACTTTGTATTCTTCATTCTCAAGCCTTGTTGTGCATTGGTTAAGAATGAACTTGGAAGGGAAATATAAGAGCTAGACGTGGGCAAGATTTTCACAGAGTCACAGCAGGAGCCCACTTATATTTTGGTCTGAACTGTAGGTGCCATTTGGGCTAGGTTCACTGCTGACTTCCATGGGTTCCAGTTTCTTCATTGTCAAATGCAACTTCAGAACTACAGAGCCCAGTGGTATCATTTTTAGCCTGTGACTCTTAACATTTCTCCAAGGCTCCTCTGACCTTACATTTAAGTTGCCTGTCCCAGGTCCCCATACAGGGAGAGGCTCACCTGTGAAGAACAACCATCTCTGTGTGAACTAGAAGTCCCATTCCCAGCTGCCAGCTCAGCTTATGTTTAGTTCTGAATCCAGACTAGTCAGCTTCCCATTTAAAAAGCACCTTACCTGACATCAGAATTTCATCCAGATTTTCAAGACTTGTATTCAGTAGTTTTAAGGAGTCTTGGAGTGTAGTGGGATCCATGTAGAGCATGATTGATAAGCCTGGAAACAATGAAGAAATGGCATTGACAAGAGTCAGTGGTTGTGTGGCTGTCAGAGAAGCAGGGTCGAAGTCAGAGTAACTAAACTGGGGTCCTACCCCCTTACCCCCATACCCTTCTCACAGCCTCATGATGAGAATGATGCTTTTACATTTGCTGCAGGCACACGGTCCTGCTCTGGGACCATGAAGTTCACACACATTGCTTGTCTACTCTAGTCCTTTGTGTGAGTCTCTATTCTCCTCTGAGCCTCAGCTCCCTCATGAGGGTCTCTGACCTTCTGGCCAACAGGGATAGGTATCATCTTACGTGTAGTTCAGGTTTGCCTTGAATTCAGATTCATCCTACTTTAATTTCATTGGTTCTCATACTTTAGGGATATGTGTGGATCAGCTAGTGTTATTTTTGAAGACTTATAATTTTTCTTAGTGTTTGATAAAAATTCAAGGTATATATAGTATCCATCAGATAGAGAGATTCTGAGAAACTTCTTATGGACTGAGGAACATGTTTTGAAAAGTAGTTTACAGCTACTAAGTGGCATGCCAGGGAGAGGAAGGTATGAGGCTTTAAGTCACAGTTTTGATACGCAATGAAAATGGGCATGGCAGTTTGGGATGCAGTAGAGTTGTTTTAATGGAACAACTTGGAAGCTGAGAATAGTGAGGAAAAGAAATGAGAGAAGGAAACTTATGGCAGCCTAGGAGGAAGCTTTGTGGGGAGAGAGTCAGGAACAGTCTAGATGGTTACAATATCATCAGTGGAGTCTTCCATAAGCCCCATGTGCCAGGGCCTTCTTGGGGGCAGCATGAACACGTGATATCTGCACCTGTCGGAGAGGTGGCAGTGGAGCAAATGGGGAGGAATGTGAATGCTCAGATAATGAAACTGAGACACAGACTGTGGAATGGACTTTTCTAGGATACACATTAAGTGATGTTGAGGTGACAACTAGGTTCAATGGCTTTTGACTCTTTAGCCTTCATTCTCATGGCTTAATGTTGGAAGGGAAGACATTGGAGGAAGAGACATAGGTTAGTCCTGTGGGCAGGACTTTCACAGAGTAGCAGGAGAATGAAAATGGAGGAAATCATTTCCAGGGCTCCTGTTGTTCTATATTAAAGCCCTGCATGTGTATCTATGTGCTGTGAGCACGGATAAGTTAACATCTTCTCTAGACCTTGTGCATTGGAGAGAGGTGGCTACTTTGATGCCTGAGAAGGGGAAGAGGGAAGGGTGTGGTCTGTGTAAGTTGAAATAAGGGAAGTCAGACTGCAGCTGAGGCAGGAGCCTTCTTCTACTTTGGGGTTCATCTCAAGGGTGACCCTCTTGGAACTTCAGACCTGCATGAGCTGAATTCTGGGTGCCATTTGGCCTACGCTCACTGCTGACCCCATGGGTACCAGTTTCTTCATTGTCAAATGCAACTTCAGCACTGCAGAGGCAGAAGGCATTGTTTCTAGCCTGTGACACTTAACATTCCTCCATGTCTCCTCTGACCTTTTATTTTAGTTGCCTGTCCCAGGTTCCCAAACAAGGAGAGGCTCACCTGTAAAAAACCTCCATATATGTGGACTAGAAGTCCCATCCCCAGTTGCCAGCTTAATTTACATTTAGTTATGAATACAAACTTCTCAGGTTCCCATTTAACAAGCCCCTTACCTGGCATTAGGATTTCTCTCATATTTTCAAGTTCTGAGCTCAGTCGTCGTAAGTAGATTTTGATGAAAGTGGCATCCGTGAAACATGTAATTTCCGAGGCTGGAAATGATGAAAAAAGGTCGTGGGAAGAGACAGTGGTGTGTGATTGACAGAGAACCAGCAGTAGGAGTCAGGGTAGCAATGCTTGGGTCCTATCTGCCTATCGTTACACTCTTCTCCACATTCCCATAGTGAAAATGATGCTCTTACACCTGCTTCAGGGACACGGTCCTGCACTGGGACCATGATGGTCTCACACCTATGCTGGTCTACTCTAGTCCTATGTGTGAGGCTCAATTCCATTCTGAGCCTCAGCTCCCTCAGGTGGGTCTCTTGACCTGTTTCACAGGGATAGGCAGCATCTTAATGTGTAGTTCAAACTTGCCTCAAACACAGTTTCTTCTTGCATTAATTTCACATGTTCAGAGTTTATAGGAATATTTCCACTACCAGTCAGTATCTTATTTTTGAAGCCTTATGATTTTCTTTAGTAGTTAATCTAAAACGTCAAGGTGGATATAGTATCCATCAGATAGCAATTCTGAGAAATGTCTTGGGAACTCAGGAAGATATTTCAAACAATAGCTAACAGTTATTAAGTGGCATTCTTAGAAGGAAGGTGAGAGTGTTTAAAACACTGTTTTGATACACAAAGAAATCTGAACATGTAAGTTCTGGATGGAATGGAATTGTTTTAATGGAACAACTTGGAAGCTGGGAATAGTGAGGAAAAGAAATGAGAGAAGGAAACTGTTGATAGCATAGGAGGAAGCTTTGTGGGGAGCGAGACATGAACAGTGTAATCTGCTACAATATCATCAGTGGAGTCTCCCTAAGCCCCATGTGCAAGTACCTTCTTATGTGCAGCTTGAAGATGTGAGATCTGCACATGTTGCTGAGTTGGCATCTGAACAAAGGGTGAGCTGTGTCAATGCTCAGATATTGAAACTGAGACACAGACTTGGAATGGCTTTTTCTAAGACGCACATTAAATGATGCCTAGGTGACAACCAGGGAAAATGGCTTTTGACTCTGTAGTCTTCTTCATTCTCAAGGCTTAACATAAGCTTGGGAAAGTATGGGCTTTGAATGGAAAGAAAAGGGTTAGGTGTGGACAGGACTTTCACGGGCTAGAGCAGGATGAGGAGGAAGAACTCATTTCCCAGGCTCTTGTTCTAGATTCTATTCCTGTGTCTGTGTCTATGGTCTGTGAACTTATACAAGTCAACCTCTTTCTCCAAAACGTTTGCACTGGAAGGCAGTGACTACTTTGATGTTGGAGAAGAGAAAGAGGCCAGGATGTTGTCTGCATAAGTTGAAATATTGGAAGTCCTGAGGCAGGAGCCTACCCTCTCCTTGGTGCCACGTACAGGAAGAGACCTTCCTGGAACTTCTGGAGCTGCAGTAACCCTGGGATTTCAGTTCCCTCATATATAAATATTGGTTTTACGAGACAGGGTTTCTCTGTATTGTTTTGGAGGCTGTCAGACCAGACCAGCCTCGAACTCACAGAGATCCGCCTGCCTCTGCCTCCCAAGTGCTGGGATTAAAGGCGTGCGCCACCACCGCCCGGCTTCCCTCTTATATTTTGAGTTGAACTCCAGGTGCCATTTGGACTAGGCTCACTGCCGATCCCCATGATTTCCTTCATGTGTCAAATGCAGCTTCAATACAGCACAGTCCAGAGGCATTATTTCTAGTCTGATATGCTTAACATCCCTCCATGTCTACTTTGACCTTCCATTTTAGTTGCTTGTCCTAGGTTCCCATAGAACTATCGTCTATGTCTCTAGAAGTTGCATTCCCAGCTGCCAGTTCAGCTTGTTAGGTTCTGAATCAAGAGTCCTCAGGTTCTCATTTAACACTATCCTTACCTGACATTACAATGTGTCTCAGATTTCTGAGGTTTGAGCTCAGTAGCTGTAAGGAGCCTCGGAGCAGAGTGGGATCCACGTTAGGTGTGAATGCTGATCCTAAAAGATGAAGGTTCATGGAAAGGGACAGTCATTATGTGATTGTTAGAGAAGCAGCAGTAGAAGTCAGGGTAGCAAGGCTGGGGTCTTACCTGCTTACCCTCATACCCTTCTCCATCACGGAGAGAATGATGCTCTTATACCTGTAGCAGGGACACAGTCTTGTTTTGGCACCATGAAGTTCTCACACATATGCTGGTCTACTCTAGTCTTCTGTATGAGTCTCCTTCCCTCTCTGAGCCTCAGCTCCCTCATGTGGGTCTCTGACTTTATGTCCCACAGGGATAGGTAGCATCTTATGTGTAGTTCAAACTCGCCTCAATCTCAGACTCGTCTTGCATTAATTTTGTTCATGCTGTCATTATAGGAATATATCCATGACCAGTAGTAACCTTATTTTTGATGCCTGTGATTCCTTAGTGTTTGATACAAAACTTCAATGAGAGTGCACTGTCCATTAGTCAGAGAAATTCTGAGACAATTCTTGTGGGCTCAGGTAAATATTTCAAATAGTAGCTGACAGTTATTGAGTGGCATCTTAGAGAGGAAGATGAGTGTTTGAAACACTGTTTTGATGCACAATGAAAATGAGCTTGGCACAAACATGACGAACATCCCACCATCTTAAATCTTGTAATTCATATCACAGCTTCTAGACTAACTTAACTCACTTGTCCTTTTTTCCAGCACAAAAGGTGTTATCTATACTGTTAGGCATCACTACATATACAAGATACAATAATAAATAATGATAATACTCTGATTTGATCTATTTTGCATATAAGTTTGAAGTACAGACAATTGATAATAAATATAAACTTATTGAAAAAAAAGAAAATGAGCTTGGAAGTTCAGGATGGAGTGGAATTGTTTTAATGAAACAACTTATAATCTTGGAATAGTGAGCAAAATAAATGAGAGAAGGAAACTTACGGCAGTCTAGGAAGAACCTTTGTGGAGAAAGAGACATGAACAGTAACCTAAGCCTCAATATCATCAGTGGAGTCTTCCCTAAGTGCCTGTGCAAGGGCCTTCTTGTGTGCATCTTGAAGATGTGAGATCTACAATTGTTGGAGAGGTGTCAGCAGAACAAAGGATGAGCAGTATCAATGCTCAGATAATGAAACAGAGATACCCTCTGTGGAATGACTTTTTCTAAGACACACATTAAATGATATTGAGGTGACAACTAGGGGCAATGGCATTAACTTGTTGTCTTCATTCTCAAGGCTTATTGAGGAAGAGACAAGGGTCAGGTGTGGGCAGGACTCACAGAGTAGCAGCATGATGAAGGAGGAGGGAGCCATTTCTCTTATTGCTGTAGATTCTAGCCCTGCATGTATCTTTATTTGCTGTGAACCAGGACAAATTAACCTCTTTCTTTTTTTATATATATTATTTTCCAGTTTAAATTTAGATAAGAAACAAGGTTGCTTCACAAGTCAGTTCCAGGTCCCTCTCCCATTCCCTCCCCTCCTCCCGTACCCTCCCCCCAACCCCCCCCCCCGTTATCCCCTCATTCCCCCAGGGAGGGTGAGGCCCTCCATGCGGGTGTCCATAGTCTGTCATTTCATATAGGGCAGGGCCTAGACCCTTCCCCAAGAGTTCAGGGTGAGAGTGCACCTCACATTGTTCTATGGGAGTCCAAAGTCCGTGTGTATACTTGGGATGGGTACTGATCTGCTGGCCAAGGCTCAATAGATTACCTAGGCCTCCTCACTGACACCCAGATTCAGGGGGTCTTGATCAGTCCCGTGCTGGATTCAAGAGTTAACCTTTGTCTGGTCAGCTGTTTCTGGGGGTTAAGCCAGCCCAGTCTTAATCCCTTTGATCATCAGTCCTCCCTCTCTGTTACTGGCTTTCTTGAGTTCAGCTCAGTACTTAACCAAGGGAGTCTGCCTCTTCTTCTTCGACCAGCCACTAAATGAAGTTTCTGTTTCCCAGACTCTCTGGCCATAGGATTGTAGGCTGGCATCCCCAGATCTATGTCTAAAATCCATATATGAGAGAGTACATGCCATGTTTCTCTTTTTGTGACTGGGTTTTTTTTTTTTGGTTTTTATGAAACAGGATTTCTCTGTATTGTTTTGGAGGCTGTCGGTCCAGCCTGGCCTCGAACTCACAGAGATCCGCCTGCCTCTGCCTCCCGAGTGCTGGGATTAAAGGCGTGTGCCACCACCACCTGGCAAGTTAACCTCTTTCTTAAGACCTCATTCACAGGAAAGAGGTGGCTACTTTGACGATTGAAAAGAGGAAAAGACAAGCCTGTGTAAGTTGAAATAGTAGAAGTCAGGCTGAAGCTGAGGCAGCAGCCTACCCTCTCCTTGGTGCCATTTACAGGAAGAGACCTTCTTGGAACTTCTGGAGCTGCAGCATCCCTGGGATTTCAGAACCCACTCATATTTTTTTCTGAACTCTGGGTACCACTTGGGCTAAACTCACTGCTGACTGCCGTGGTTTCCAGTGTCTTCATGTGTCAAATGCAACTTCAGCCCTGCAGAGCCCAGAGGCATCATTTCTAGCCTGTGACTCCTAGCATTCCTCCACGACTCCTCTTATCTTCTACTTGAGTTGCCTGTCCCAGGTCCCCAAAGAGGTGGAGACTCACCTGTGAAGAACCACCGTCTATGTTGACTAGAAGTCACATTTCCAGCTGTCAGCACAGATATATTTGGTTCTGAATCCTGACCAATCAGTTTCCCATTAAACACATTCCTTACCTGACATCAGAATGCATCTCACTTTTCTAATGCTTGAGCACAGAAGTTGTAAGGAGCTTTCGAGGGTACTGTGGCCCGTATAGCGTGTGATTGCTGATCCTGATGGAGAAAGGGCCATGGGAAGAGAAAGTGGTTGTGTGATTGTTAGAGAACCAGTAGTAGGAGTCAGGGTAGCAAGGTTGGGATCCTTCCTGCTTACTCTCTTATCTTTCTCTGCTCTCTCATGGAGAGAATGATGCTCTTACACCTGCTGCAGGGACATGGGAAAATGAAGTTCACACACCTATGCTGATCTACTCTAGTCCTCTTTGTGAGTCTTCATTCTTTGCTGTGCTTCAGTCCCCTCAAATGGGTTTCTGAGTTTCTATCCCAGAGGGCCAGGTACGATCCTACTGTGTAGTTCAGGCTTGCCTGGAACTCAGATTCTTCCTGCTATAATTTCATACATTCTGAGATTATAAGAATATGTCCATGACCAATTAGTAATCTTATTTTTGAAGCCATATATTTTTTTCTTAGTGTTTGATATGAAACTTCAAGGTGAAAATAGTGTCCACCAGACAAAGTGATTCTGAGAAAGTTCTTCAGGACTTAGGGACACATTTCAACTAATAGCTGGTAGCTACTAAGTAGCATCCTAGGGATGCAGGTGAGAGTCTTTAAAACACAGGTTTGATACACAATGAAATTTGAGCATGGAATTTTGTGATGGTGTGGAAGTGTTTCAACAGAACAACTTGAAATCTGGGAATAATGAAGACAAAACTGGTGGTAGCATAGGAGGATCCTCTGTGAGAGAGACATGAACATGAGGACGACTCAGTGGAACTCACTGGGGTCAGCCACTCAGCTGCACAGCAATCTATGGTGAAGTTAGTAAAGACAGGTATATAGAAAGGTAAGCTCCCAGAGAATAGATAGATGGGATGATTTATGTTAGGAAAAGCTGGCTGGACACAACCCATGCTAAGGTCATGCTTTCATCAGTCAGAATGAGACTCTGGATTTACTTGGGAGCTGGGTAGCAGGCCTCCCAAAGGGCCAAACAGTAAAGAAACAACCTATAACAGAGATTCTGACAAATTTCTTTGAGGCTGAAGCACACATTTCAAGTAATTACTGATGTTAGTAAGTGACATCCTTGGGAGGAAAGTGAGAATCTTTAAAACATAGTTTTATATCACAATGAAATGAAATGTAATCATGGAAGTTCATGTTGGTGTGGAATTGTTTTGAATGGAACAACAGGGAAGTTGTGTGAGACACATGCAATTCCTTTTAAAATGTCCTTAGATACAATGGCTTTATTCCTGTCACTAAGTAAAATCAGCATGACCATCAAAGGCAATGGACTTTGATTCTATAATCCACATTTTAGCTTTATGAGGGGTAAAAAGAATGAACTTTGACACTGAAGACAAGGATTAGGCAGGACTTTCACATTTCAGCAGGAGGTTGAAAGAAGTCCAGGGACCGAGTGTTCTAGACTCCAGTCCTGCTATGTGCTGTGAGCATGGACAAGTTAACTCCTCTCTCTATGGAGTTGGATCCTCTGTTGCTTAAGAAGAGGAAGAGGCAGGGGTGTGTGTTGAGGCATAATATTTTTGTACATTGTGATGATGTGTCCTTGCCAAGGTGTTTTCTGGTTGGTTTAATAAAGAGATGAATGGCCAATAGCATGGGCCAAAGAGGTTAAGTGGTACTTCAAGGTAGAGAGGAAGAAGAAGACATGAATCTAGGTGCAAGAGAGTTGCCAGAAGAAACGGGGACCAAATAGGAGGTGCATGATGCAAGACAGATAAAAAGCCATGAGGCTTTAATCCCAGCATTTGGGAGGCAGAGGCAGGTGGATCTCTGTGAGTTCAAGGCCAGCCTGGTCTATAGAGAGAGTTCCCAGACAGCCTCCAAATAATACAGAGAAACCCTATCTCGAAAAACAAAACAAAAAGCCATGAGGCAAAACAGATTAATATAAATGTGTTAATTTAAGGTATAAGATCTAGTAGGGCAAGCCTAAGCTGTAGGTTGAGATTTTATGATTAATAATAAGTCTCTGTGTCTTTTTTCTTTTTCTTTTTTTTTTGTGAGCTCAAAGCCAAAAGAAAAATCTATCTACAGGGTGGCTAGGGTAAGTGAAAATGAAATCAAGGAAGTCAGTAGAAGAAAAAAAAACTGAAGCTGAGGTAGGACCTCTTCTCAGGGTCCATCTCAGGAAAAGAAACCTTCTTGGATCTCTAGGACCTCCAAGACACCACACTCCCACTTCAGTGCCCACTCATACTTGGAGCGCAACTCTGGGTGCCAGTTTGGCTAGGCTCAACATGCCGACACTCACGGTTTCCAGTTTGTCCTTGTTTCAAATGCAACTTCAGCATTGCATAGCCCAGGTGGAACATTTCTAGTCTGTGACTCTTAGCCTTCCATCATGGCTTCTCTGCTTTTATTTAAGTTCCTTATTCAGGTTCCCATACAGGTGGGAACCTTATGTTGTGACGAACTGCTGTGTAAGTGAACTTTAAGTTCCTTTCACACCTCCAATATTAGTTATCTTTATTTCTGCATACAGATTGCTCAAGTTCCCACTTTACAAGTTTTTTCTTTCAGTCTGTGAGTGATTTGAGATTCAAGGTCTAGCCCAGTAGTTCCAGTGAGATGATCTGGCTAAGGAACTCCATGTTAAGACCCCACCCCCACCCATAGCCTGAAATGAAGAACAGCCTCTGGGAAGGGAACAGTTGTGTGGTTGTCAGAGAGGCAGAGGTAGGAGTCAGGGGATCCAGCTTGTGCCCTTCCACCTTAACCCCCATAGCCTTCTTCAGTGTCACATAGGAAGAATGATGCTTTCAGAGTTTCTGTTGAGAAATGGTCCTGTTCTGGGGCCATGAAGTTCACACATCTGTCCTGTCTCTACACTACTCTTTGGTGGGGATCTTTAGTCTTCTCTGTGAGCCTCAGCTCTCTCATGAGTGGCCCTCAGCTTCTGTCCCACAGGGCTGCAAACAACAATGACATCTACAGCAGCAATTGCGTGGATTTGTACTTATAGTAGTGGAACATTAATTGAATATTGTGCTGCTTCATATTCAATGTGGATTATCACTTTACTCCCACAGCCCAAGGAAACAGGTTTTTACCCTCTTCTTGTTTCCCAGATGGAGACATGGAGGCTGAGGGCTCTAAAGTGACTTGTCCAAGAGGGTATTGCCATGACTGCAGTCTACCTCTGCCCAGCTCTAAACTCAGGTCTTGTAACTCAAGTGTCACCAACCCCTTTTTTTTCTGGGAGCTGGCTGGAACCCTGTGCTCACCTCTCTTAGAGCCATTCTGACTGCCAGCCTCTCCCCACTTCTGCATCTTCAGAGTGCTCCTCCCCAGGGCCCTGAGGATGTACTTCTGCAGAAGAGGGTGGGGCGCTCAGGTTCACTTAGGGTTTCTACATGTCTCCTGGGTCCAGACTCCTCTGGGCTTGTGAATGTTTCTGACAGAGGTTAGCCTGCTATGGAAACACTGACAGGAGGGCTCAGTGAGGATGAAGGGGTCACAGTAGTTGTGGGTTGGGGTACTTGGTGTACTTACCTAGCATCCAGTCCTTCTCTGACTTGGCTTTGATCCTCTGCATCTTCAGGATCATCCGCTTCCTCTTGTCATGGATGGGGTCCAAGACCGGTTGACCCTTATGCTGAGCCTCCTCAGTGCCATCCACTGTCTTGAACTGAGCTTCTTCCATGGTGACAGAGCCCTCAGACAATGCTTGGCTGTGCAGCTCACACTGGTCCTGCTTCACGTCTCCCTTCTGATGCTGCTCCAAACAGGAGGCCAGGGCATCCTTGTCTCTGATGGCCGTTTCTGCTCTGGGAAAGGATGTGTGATCAGGATTGATGGAGGAGAGTTGGAAATAAAAGAAAGGGCAGAGCAGCATCTACAGGGACAGACTGTCCTGTGATTAGAACCCCTGAAGGACTCCAGTCTCTCCTGGGGATGGAGACTGTGTGTTCAGGTGCAGGGGCTTGGGCTTTATAGGGCAGAAGAGGGAACTCTGGGAGGAAGGTTTATCAGTGGATGCGTTCTTTACAGTTTCATGAATGATGCCATCGGATGTTCTCATTACTGTGCTGGCCTCTCCTGTCAGGCAGGTGTGCTAATCATTATGCTGAATTGGGGGGGCACTTAGCTTGTCTAAAGTTTCTTCTTTTAGGTCATGAAGGTCATTTATCTGACCCGAGGTCTGATGAAAGGAATGGGAGTAGTCTCTCCTCGCCTGTTTCCTGCTGAAGGGGCATGATGTAGATGGGGCTAGGCTCTGTCCCTAGGGCTTAATAGGGCAAAGGTTGGGTTGACTTTGTGAACCAGCAAAGGAGTTTTAACTTGATCTACCACAGTAAATTCTGTGATTGCCACCATTTTCTCCTGGAGAAACCTTTGGAAACAACTAATAGACAGGGGCCACAGTGAATAAGATGAGTCTGAAGACAGGGGACCCAGTCAGCCCCTAGCCGGGGTAACCATTGTCCTAATGTGGACCTAGTGATAGCAGTGATTTGATCAGGAGGAACTTGTGTAAAACTTTTAAAGATAGGGTAAAATGCATATAAAGATAAGGAGGATTGGAGTGATGAAGGGAAGGAGCCAGAGTGGAGGGAAGGAAAGCCCATCCTTAGGAAGATGACTGTCACTGAATCTTTCTCTGGTCCTTAATTAAGTCTTTGACCCTCTCGACCAGCTTGGGTTTGTTTGTGTAGAAGCAGCCCTGTTCCTGGAGGAGATCACAGTTCCCACCACTAGCAGCAGACAGGAGATCTAGGTCTCCTAACTTTGAGAACCACAGTAGCAAAAACTTGCCTCAAGCATAGCTGTGGAAAGTGATGGAGAGGGAGGAGTGGGAAAGTGGGCATCTGGAGAATGGAGGGTGGGGAAATGGAGGGATGGGAAAGTAAGAAGAAGGAAGGATACAGGACATGGAGCAAAACAGCTTGGAAGATTAGAGGATGCTAATCAAGGGAGAAGGAGGAAAGGGGTGTTGGGATTACAGGGACAGGAGCATGAGAGGATAGGAAGACAGAGATGGAGGATACAGGGATGGAATGTGCAGGACACTCACTATTCTGTGTACCTCATCTTCATCCTTTCCTAGTGTCCCACTCGAAGGAGATCAATCCTTCAGACATCACTGTGACAGAGGGTGAGGTGGGGAGAGGTAGCACGGAGGGGGACTCAAGAGTCCAGTTTAAGTTCAGGGTAGGCCCTATGAAGGAATCTTTAGAAGACTCCTTTCCCTGGCACCACATGGGGGTGGGGTAGGAAATCCAGAGACAGCTAAGCTGGAAGGACAAACTACTCAGAGAAAACCAAAGAGCCACATGGACAAGTGTGTGGGGAGGTTAACCTGACCCAAGACTTTCTCAGAGGCTCTGATGAAAGGACAAATGGAACATTAGATTTGTGTCCTTGTCCAGGAGTGGACTTGGTGAGGCTGGTCTGATAGTGGAGCCAGTGCCTTGGAGGAATTGAAGTTGTAGTTTCTGGGGACCCAACTCGTCCCCCAGGCTTGTGGTTATCAGCCCTAAGGCAGCAGTGTCTGAGAGATTCTGTTGTTTTCCCAAGCGTTGTCTGACTTAGCTCTATGCTGACCTTTGTCATCTTCCCTTCCAAACAGCCTATGTGATGCTGTACTTTTTAATAAAGTTGCATGGCATAAGCCATGAGATCATGCAAGACATACTACTCTCAGCTATTGCTTTTACCTTCTTTATTTACATTTCTCGTCTTCCCTATTAATAATACCTTGTCGTTCATGACCCTTGTTCCTGCAGCTTCAGGTCAGACAGGAGAGAGGAGGGTGCAGGATAGCCTATGACAGGAGCAGGCACATGAGGCATACAGGTGAATCCAGCAACCTCCCACCCACCAGAGTGGGCCATTAGAGTCTCTGTTGGTCCCACTACTCACCCTGCTCTTCTACTGATGTGTGCGTCCCTGGCCAAGGCTCCTCGGCTGGAAATCATCTTCTGTGAAAGTGAAAGAGACTCTGGCTCCTCCAGGAAGTCAGGCATCAGAGTCTGCGCAGACGCTCTTCCTCTGAATCCTGGGAGTGGAGGTTGAAAGTTATTCAGCTCATTTCCTGTTGCGAATTTTCTGCAAGTGCCTGGGCTGGACAGTCAGGCTTGAGAGCTTCCTCCATTCTTGCAGAGGCCCCGCCTCCTGAGTGCAGGACTCAATGTCTGAGCCTCACTTCTACTAAAGTGGGGCCTCCCAGGTTTGCCACAGGTCCCAGTTCGGCAGAAGCTCCTGGATCTCCCAGATTTGTGGATCTCAGCTCTCTCCCTCCTCCCTGTACCCTGCCCAGCCCACAGGCTCTTCATTTCAGGGAGTGGCTCTCAGGCCCCCAAAGGGGGTCATTCTCACTCCTGGACTCTCCTAATCTTAAATCTGGTATTTGAATCCCACTAACATCTTTTTTTCCTTTTTGGGGTGTGGTATATATTGTTTTAAATTAGATCATCTTTGTTATTCAAGAAAAACATCATAATTTCAAGCTGTGTTTCTGTCATACGAAAACATTGTCAGGATACATGATTACTGTAAAACATCACAGTTGGTTTCATAAATCTTATTCTGTGACCCCAGTAGTTTGAAAACCACACACTTGCTACATGTGCTTTGTAGAACCATTTCTAACTTCTCTTGAACTATTTAGACTTAAGACAAGGAATGAAACATTAAATAAAATTAAATTTCTTGATTTTAATAGCCTGGTAATATGTTTTAAATGGCAGTTCATTATATATTTTTTCACACTCAGTTTGTATCTGCATCATGTGTGTAGCCTCATTTGCATTTGCTCAAATATTTGTTGACGAACTGTTGTGTAATTTTCCTGGGAGATGTAAAATTGGCATCGACCTCTAACTTCTGATCTCTCCACTGCCCAAAGAATGACACATTATCTCAGAGACATTTACAGGAACCCCTCTGCTGAAGTTGCTCCACCGTTTCCCACCAAGCTCTTATCTTTGGGCCTGTCTGCTCTAGAATTAGTATAACCTTCGGTTCCCAGTGCCACCTAGTGTCAAAACAGCAGAGGTGACTCCAGGCTCACAAAGCTTGGGCTCATGTATAGTCTGCCCTTGCCTTTTTCAGGAGTTCTGCTATTTGGGCAAGCACTGCCTATCTTGGGAAGGTTTGCTTGTTTCGCTACAGTCAGGTATGTTGGGAGCCACAGTCAGGCTTGCTGCACAATGGAGATGACAAGGATTCAGAGGCCTGGGTCGTTCACCAGCTGTGCCCAGACCAAGCGTATCTGCCACATCTGGAAGGAAGCACAGCACACTGGTTAAAGTGAAACATACTTCCTGCATGACCACAGCTTTTCATGCAACACGAACCTGTGGCAGCTCCTGCCACTAGAGCCTATGGACAACTGTATAGGATGAAGAATTGACATTGTGATGAAATGGTAAAAAAGTTATTGGTACACTTCTAGGATCTGATGACTTTGTCAATATGGTGTTGGAAGATGCCACAGTTGGAAATAAACCAGAAAGAAGAAGGATACAAAATTAGACCAGTTGGTACTAAATGGAAATTATGTGACAGTACAGGCTCCTGGAGGAGAAGAGCCTGAAGTAGCAATGGATTTCCTTGAGTTATGCTAGAGTCTGTTTTCTTTTAAACTGTTAATATTTAGATCCCACAAAGGGAAGTTTCCATTAAAGGGAAGTATTTTGAACTGTGTATCAGGTCCAAAGTAATTCCTTCTCCCAATTTCTTTTTTTAAAATTTTCTTTTAGGGTTCAGTCGACTTTATTGATTAAACAATAAAAGGTTAAGGAAACCACGTTACCTGTGACTCCCGAGGCATTATCTGCAGACGTGAAAATCACTTTCCCTTCCCCCAATTTCTAATGCCCATTTTACTCCTAGGGACCATTGCTTGGCACATGCCGATTCTCGAGACCATGCGAATATACATAGTTCGTGGTACTGCCAGAAATCATGTAGAAGCCCATGATCCATGCTCTCACTGTCTGTAAAGGGCAAGGAAGCTACTTTTGCAGTGGTATTGATGACTGAGAATGCACAGCTGAGGAAGAGGGACATAGAAGGCTTCTGTGACAACCCTACCACCACTCTACCACCCCCAAAAGTAATAGCAATGTAAAAAAAAAGTAAGGTCTGGTTCTCCATAATTGGTGAGTTCTGCTGGGAGTGTGGGTGAAGGTCTCAGTTTTCTTTCAGCGGGTGGCCACTAGGAGTTTGACCATGCTCCAGTGAGTATATGGGCAACAGAAATTGGACTCATATTTTCCTCTTCTCTCTCTCTTTTTCTTTTTTATTCCTCCGTTCTTTTTTGTCTCTTTCTCTCTCTCATTCTTTCTTTCTTCTTTTTTTTGTGGGAGAGGCCATGGGGGTGGGGATGAACATGGGAGACTGGGAAGTAAGCGTAATTGGGGTGATTTGTGGAAATTCCCTAATAATCAATGCAAATACATAGAAAAAACAAAAAGGAACCTGTGTGAGGCTTCAGGAGCCAAAGATTATGGTTTTTAATTTTGTAATGTTTCTTCGCGAAGACACAAAATGTTAAATAAAAAAATTCTGTGATGTAAGGAAGAGCCAGGCAAGAAAGTACAGCCACCTCCACCACCACCCACTAACAAAGGAGGTTCCCTCAGATCCCTGTGGTGACTACTGGTGTCAGGTCACACTGATAAACATGTTTTACTGAGAGCTAAGCCATAGTTGGTAACCTGACACAAAACAGTGCTCATCAATGGGTATTTATAGAAAAAAACTGTTCCCCCAACAGACAGCCACTTAAGTAAATAGTTTGCATTTTGCAATCTAATGTCAAATAAGTTTCCCATATGTAAGAGACTGACTTTACAACATTTAAAAATGACAAACCCTTAATCATCTTACAGTTCAGTTTTTAGAAGTTTTACTGTGTTTTAATTGTGTTTAATTATCATTAACATGAAAGGTGTAAACTTGTCAAAAACTCCTTTGTTTTCATTGTGTAAATTGTATTTCTCCCAAACCAGTGGCTTGTGGTGGATGAAAGTGGACTGTAAAATCTCCATTTGTAAACACTTACTGTTCCTTTGGACTTATTAAAGATCTGACCCTTGCTGCAGAGTCAGGAGTCTCTTGGTGACACCACAGTGTGTTTGCACTAAAATGACCATAGCTATGCAGGCTGCACAGATCGATTCTTGAGACCCCAGCACAGAAAAGGCGTCATAACATTTCTTGGAAGGAAAATTCATACTGACACATTCTGTTCTCAACTATTTTCTGTGAATGTGCCCATATCTGACTGAATCCGCAAATCCTTGGCCACTGTCCAGGTGACATGTCCTCTGGAGGAGTCAAGTTGAGAACCTCAGTTAGGGAGACTGTGTCAGTGTGGATTTGTTGATAGACACCGAGTCTGTCCTGTCCTGGCTTGTTTCTCAGAGCATCCTAAGGGCACCAGTGAGGAGGCATGAGTTACCTACAGCACCCAGTGATCTACATTCCCCCAAAAAGCCAGGAAGAAAGTGATGTGAACTTGTTTTTATATGACAATAATTGATGATATCAAATTTAGTAGACCTAAATATATTTTATTTTTATGGATTTTAAGAAGCTAAGAATTAAATTTATGTGTATAAATTGATACTGTTGTTGGTTGTTTTTACTCTTAGTCCTTATGGCTCTTTCTGGGGGTCCTGCCACCCAGCTCCCAAGTAAATAACACGGAAGGTTATTCTTATAAATGCCTGGCCTTAGATTGCCTTGTTTCTATCTGGCATTTCCTAACCTAAGTTATCCAGTCTTCCTTTTGCCTCTGGGGTTTTACCTTTCTCTGTGTTTATATATCTTTTCTTTATTTCTTTATTTCCTACTTATGCTCTGTAGCTGGATAGCTGACCCCTGAATCCTTCTTCCCCCTCCTCCTCTCTCTCTTTCTCTCTCTCTCTGTGAGACAGGGTTTCTCTGTGTAACAGTCCTGGCTGTCCTGGAACTCACTTTTTAGACCAGGCTGGCCTGGAACTCACTGAGATCCACCTGCCTCTGCTATGATTAAAAACTCCTCTGTCTTTGATTCTTCTTTCCAGATGTCTTCTCTTATTATTTATTCTCGTTTCCTTCCAGCCACACTTATCCTTTCTCCTGCCTTGCTATTGGCCATTCAGCTGTTTATTAGACCAATCAGGTGTTTTAGACAGGCAAAATAACACAGTTTCAGAGTTAAACAAATGCAATATAAAAGAATGCAACACATCTTTGCATCATTAAAACAAATGTTCCACAGCATAAACAAATGTAACACATTCAACTAATATTCTACAACATGATAATTTATCATTTTCTCTTATTTTTTAGATAAACCCAGTGTTATATCTGTTGTACACATTTAATAACCTTGACTTTGCATGTAACACTTAATTTGTTTAGTTTTATTTCTAAAATCCTAATGAAGTCAAGATAGCATAAAGGGAGGTCAAAACTTGGAATTATCTCTTGTCAAATATAACCCTGGAGGGTAAAGGTGAGAAGTCTGTGCAGAAGTTGCCTGCCTGTGGCTCAGTGAAGGGCAGGTACTGTGTTCTGAGACAGAGAGAGGGGGAGAGATTCAGAGATTCACACAGGCAGAGCTAGGACACCTGCAGAGTCCAGAGGAGAAGATGGGAGGCACAAAGAAGCCAGGGTAACAATTCTGGCCTTGGGCCTGGCAGGGAGCATAACAGAAGCTTGATCCAGAGGGAAGCCTGGTGGCCTGGGGGATGAGACTGGCAGGCCTATCATTTTGGCAAACACACAGCTTGAGCCCCAGGTCCTACTCTGGCAGATAGGTGATCAGTAGAGAGTCCCATTTTGTCCTTGTTTTATAACAATTAAAAATTGTGTGAAAAAATGTGTCTGTGTGTGAGTGTGTGTGCATGCGTTTTTGAAAGTGCATCTGTCTGATGTGGGTGCTGGAAATAGAACTCTAATCATCTGCAAGTGCTCTTAATCACAGAGCCTTCTGTCTGCCCCCCATTTTAAAATTTACATAAGTTCCTTTGCCTGCCTGCCTCCCTCC